GCCCCAGAGGCAGGCCCAAGGATGAACCCATGCACTTGCTCCTAGGTGCTTTAATTGGCTGAGCTATTTGGCTGGGGACCCATCCACTTGATCTTGGTGAGCACCTTTCATTTAAATTTTAAAGACAAGGGCCAGCCAAACAGCTCAGCAGATCAAAGCTCCTGCAAGCAGGCCCTGAGGGAGGGGGTGGGGGGTGGGGGATGGGTTTCGACCAAGGCCTGCCATGTGGGCCCTGCCCCCAGGGCACGCTGAGCCTGCAATTGAGACTGGGCATGATGGCAAGCTCTTGGGAGGCTGTAAACAGGTGGATCACTACGAGTCTGACCTAGTAGTGAGATCCTGAACACCCTGTAGACCTTCCCTAAAAAATAAAAAAAAATAAAAAAATCAAGTGGACATGTCTGGCAAGCCCGATATAACAGAACAGTTCTTCCTTTGTATAACTCCTGTCTCTTATGCCTTTTTTTTTTTTTTGGTGGTACCAGGGATAAAACTCAGGACCTTACACTTGCCAAGCAAGCACTTATTCCACTGAGCTATTTCCCCAGCCCTCAAAGTGAGATAATTGCTTATGCAGCCTCCCTAGAGACACACAGGGCTTAGGCTTCAGGGCAGAACTTGTTCTCTTTCTTCCCTTCTTATGCCTTTGTATAACTGATGCCCTTACAATGTAACTTAAAATGTAACAGGACATTTCTTCCTTTGTGTAATCCATGCTTTGTATAACTGATAGCCTAACAACGTAACTTGAGATATTCAAACCCCTTCAACAGCCCATGATATCACCCACCCTTCCAATCATATCGGCCAATCTGCCTATGCTCCTTCCCACTCACTCCCCCCACCCCTTTTTTGATGGAACTGGGGATTGAACTCAGGCCCTATTCTACTGAGCCATCTTCCCGACCCTCACTTCCCCTTTAAAAGCCCCAAAATTCCACAGGTCAGGGCACTGACCCTTTGGGAGAGATTGTAGACAGAAGCCCACTTGTGTAATAAAATGTCTCCTAAACCTTGGTGCTGTTTCTTCCCTTGTTTGGTCTGTTTTCTGTAACAGTCTTAGTTTGGGTAGTCCACAGCTAATCCTCATGAAAATGAGTAAAAAGCAAATACCACCGGACAGCTTCTTTCAAAAGGGGAAGACAGTAATAAAACAGCAGAAGACTCTAAGATGTCAAAAGAAAGCTGCATTTACAAGAAAATACCACGAGTCCTACTTAAATCACAGGTTCATTGTAACAGGCGACTCACATTCCCCAAGACCACTTAGTGCAGTATGTGGTGACTGGCTTTCCAACAAAGCCACGAACCCTTCAAAACTGCTCTGCTACCACATGGAGAACAAGTACCCTGCATTAAGTGTTTTTCAAAAGACAAAAAGATAAGCACGCAAAACAGAAACAATTTTTTATTTTTATTTTTCTATTTTAGGGACGGGTCTACAGGGTGTTCAGAGTCTCACTACTAGGTCAGACTTGTAGTGATCCACCTGTTTTCAGCCTCCCACGAGCTGGGATTACAAGTGCATGCCCCACGCCCAGTCTCCAGAAACAATTACTGCAAGCCACTACTTCATTAAATGTGACTGCACTGAGAGCACCATTCTTAGTGGCTGACTGCCCTGCCGAGGCTGAGAAGTCCTTTACTACTGGTGAAGTGATGACCCTGCTCTGAGGACATCTGTCATGAGCTTTTAGGAAAGGTCACAGTTTCAACAGCAGCACATGTTTCTCTTCTGGCTAGCACCATAAGCAGGCAAATAGGCAGAAGAGCAGAGAACACTGAGGTACAACTGTTAGGATTAATGAGTTGCTGTGGTTCACAATCCAGGCTGAGGAGTCCATGGATGCAGACAAGGCACTTATGGCTATTTTGTGCATTATGTTTTTCAGGAGAAATGTCTGTGTGCATTTGTTATGTGCACTGTTGTGGGGAATCAATAGCACAGTTGTAAGCTATTTAAATTTTATCAGGACAACAGAAGTGGTCTTTTTCATGGTAGTATAAGCACTGATGGAGTGGTGGCCACGCCATGACTGGAGAGCTTTCCAGTCTCACTTGGCGCAAAAAGGCCACTTCTGAGTGTGAGTTTATCACATCCACAGAGAAACACTGGCTAGCTGAACAATGTCATCTGAGCTTAATGTTTTGCGAGATATGATTATAATTATCAACCACATTAAAGTACATGTTCTTAACTCATGTCTGTTGGCATAGCTCTTTGAGGAGATGAACACAGAACACACATCTTTGGACCAGGGAGATAGCTTGACCATCTAAGCACCTGCCTGGCAAGTGCAAAGACCTGGATTCAATCCCTGGTATGGTATGCCATGCTGGTCACCGAAACCGGGCGTGGTGGTGCACGCCTATAATCTCAGCACTGGGGAGGCGGAGACAAGAGGATCACTAAAAGTGCATGCTGCATAGTGAGACCCTGTACCAAATAAATAAAAAGATTTTTTTTAAAAAAGAATACATATCTTCTCTTATACAAAGAAAGGAGTGGTTGTATGTTACGGGTTGGTGCCGAAACGACGAGAAGACCTGATGAATGTAGCTTTAGAGGTCTCACTGAGACTAGTCTCTCTCCAAGTGAGCCCAGAGCCTCAGAAGCATCTCACATTTATTGAGGGGTGAAGGCAGACTAAGGAATGTGCATAACTACCTAAGTGAATACAGACTACTATCTCTACTGACTTCCACCATTTGCCTAACACTAGGTTCACACAAATGCTAGCCAATAACATCCCAAGCAAGAGATCAAAGGACAGGGCTCCTGCAGGAGAAGCTGTTATCTGCTGCCTTGGGTCCCAGCTTTCCAGGAATTTGCAAACAGACAGCAACCCTCTTTGGGCTCAGTCTAGTGTTCCCTGCTCTTGGGACATCAGACTTTTGTCTCAAATCTATATCTCTACAAAGGAGGTAGTTTTCTAAAGGTAGATCACTGGCCAGAGTTTTGTTTTTTTTGGCGGAACCAGGGATTGAACTCAGGCCCTTGCACTTGCCAGGCAAGCACTTATTCTAATGCACTATCTCCCTGGCCCCAGAGTTTTTAACTTATAGGAATAACTGAAGATATTTCTTTCAGTTAAATAGGTATTTCTTTTCAGAAAAATAGCCACCACTGGTAGCACATTTTAGTAATACAGAATGGGTCACAAAATTTGCTTATTCATGTGGTATATTCTACCTGCTCAGAGAACTCAATCTATCACTTCAGGGGAGAATGGCAACTGTGTTAAAGTCAGTGGATAAAGTGGCTGCGTTCAAAACTAATCTTCAATTATGACAGCAATGAATGAAGGTTGGAGTTTCTGACAGCAGAGATTTTCGAAGAGAATAAGCAAAGGCCTTCTTTCTCCCAGCTGATACGTGACACCTACCTCCACTTTTAAGAGTTTCAACATTATTTCCTGTCTTAGATACCTTGTCACTGAGACACAATAGCTGACACTTGAAATAAAAGGAGGAGAGATTTACTTGGCTCATGGATTCAAGGCAAAAATATGATGGCCGAGGGGCATGGCTAAGGAAAAGACAACTGATGGCAAGCAGGAAGCTGAGAAAGAAGAGAGGAGCTGAAGAATACACCCTTCCAGGTAAAGCCTCCAAAGACCATCTTCTGTTGGGCCCAAATTCAGCTACTGAATTCATGGATGAATCAATCTACTGATGAATACAGTGCTCCTATAATCCAATCACCTTCCATACAGATGAGAACTTGAGGGACATGAGATCTACACCACAATGCATCCCAGCTACAAAAGACCCTGAACTAGGAAGAAGTGCATCCATGACACATTTGTGAATAAGCCAGGTAAATTTACTTTTGCTTATGCTAGAAAAGGATCAGCTGCTTGAGATCACAAATGATGGTGGGGGTCAAGGGAACAGAACAATCACATTAAACTATGTGATCTTGGACTAAGAGACCAAAACCATACACTGGAGGAAAGACAGCCTCTTTAATAAATGGTGCTGGGGAAACTACCTATCTACATGTAGAAGGTTGAATGTAGATCCATATTATTCACTATGTACATCAAAACTGATCAAAAATCTAAATATTAAAACAGAAACACTGGGCCTGGGATGTAGCTTAGTGGCACAATGCCTGCACAGTATAAGGCCCTGAGTTCAATTGCTGGCACACATACACACACACACACACACACACACAATCAGAAAAAAAAAAATCTGGGGCTGGAGAGATAGCTTGGTGGTCTAAGCGCCTGCCTGGCAAGTGCAAGGATTCAAGTTCGATCCTCAGTACCACATGCTGTGCCAGCCCCAAAACTGGGCATGGTGGTGCATGCCCACAATCCCAGTGCTGGGCAGGCTGAGACAGGAGGATCAGTATGAGTCTGAACTGCACAGTGAGACCCTGTATCAAATAAATAAAATTAATTAAAAAAATTTTTAAATGTATAAAAAAGAAAAAAATCTGAAAAGCTAAATATGCTGGAAGATAAAGTATGTTAAACTCTGGAAGACACAGGTATAGGCCAAGACTTTATGAACAAAACCCTGACTACACCGGAAATATTACAAAGAATCAACAACTGGGTTTACATCAAATGAAAAAGCTTTTGTTCAGCAAAAGAAACCAGCAACAGAGTGAAGAAACAACCCAAAGAATGGGGAAAAATTTTTACTAATTACTCTCCAGACAAATAACATCTAGAATATATAAAGAACTAAAAAAAAACCCAAAAAAACAAAAAAAGGTAAATTTAAAGATCCAATCCAAAAATGGGTGTCTGAAATGAACAGACATTTCTCAGATGAAGAAGTAGAAACAGCAAATAAATATATGAAAAAATGCTCTACATAACTGGTCATTCAAGAAATGCAAGTTAAAACAATCCTGAGAATCTGTCTTATTCCAGAAAGAATAGCTATCATCAAGAAATCAAAAAATACAACTGGGGCTGGGGAGATGGCTCAGGGGCTGGGGAGATGGTTCAGTGGAATAAGTGCTTGCCTGGCAAGCACAGGGGCCTGAGTTCAATCCCCGGTTCCACCAACAAAAACAAAGAAAAAGCACAAATGCATGTGAAAACAACCTGGAGAGACTTTGACAGCTCAGGTCAACCCAATACCTGTGCCTGCCACTCATTTTTCCTATAAGATGCACGCAAATAAACACAAAACTGGGGAGACAGCTCAGCAGCATAAGCACCTGCCTGTCAAGCATAAGGTCCTGAGTTCAATTCCTGGTACCAAAAATAAAAAAAGAAAAGAAAAAAAAGGTAAGGAAAGAAAAATAAATGCTGGAAGGACTCAATAAACGAATAAGCTGAAAGGGGCAGCCTCACCAGCACCCACCCTGTCCTCTGCCATACAGAGATTCCCACTGCTTACTTGGATACTGTTTTCTTCTAGGCAATTCCATGGGGAATGAAGCATTTGAAAGGGGACTGAGAGACAGAGTGAGGGGACGGAGGTGTTATATACCTTAAAAAAGAATTACGATGTATTAGATACATACACCAACTCCTTATGGTCAATGTAATCATTGTGTACCACTAACATAGACTAATAAAAATCAAAGGGGCTGGAGAGATAGCTCAGTGGTCTAAAGCACCTGCTTAGACAAGCTTAGGCAAAGCACAGGGACCACGGTTCGATTCCCAGCACCACATGCCACGGAAGTCCCTCCCCCAGAGTGGGCTGAGCTGGCCACAAAAATAAATAAAATTAAATTAAATTTTTAAAAAATTAAAATTATTCTGGGCCTGGTGATGCATGCCTATAATCCCAGAACTCAGGAGGCTGAGGCAGGAGGATAACTGTGAGTTTAAGGCCAGCCTGAGTTACCAAGTGAATTCAAGGCCAGTCTGAATTACATAGTAAAACTCTGTCTCAAAGAGGCCAAAAATCAATCAATCAATCAATCAATCAATCAATCAATCAGCTGGGGAGACAGCTCAGAGGTCTAAAAGCCTGCCTGGTAAGCGCAAAGACCGGGGTTTGGTCCTCAGGACCACATCCTATGGTGGTCCTGGAACCCCAGGCGTGCCATGCCGGCCACCAAAACCAGGCATGTCAGCGTGTTGGTGCATGCCTAAAATCCCAGCACTGGGGAGGCTGAGACAGAAGGATCACTGTGAGCTTGAGGCCAGTCTCCTCAGCTACAAAGTGAGATCAAAGCCAGTCTGAACTGCATAGTCAGACCCTGTCTCAAAAAAAGAAAAAAGAAAAAGAAAAAGAAAGAAAATAAAAATAAAATGAAAAAGAAAGTAGGTACATAAATAAATAAGTGCTGGTTGTGCTGGAGGTTTTTTTTTTTTTTTTTTGGCTGGCTCAGGATGCCTTCAGGACAGGTCTGGTAAAGTCTGAGGATCTGGGGCTC